CACACACACACACACACACACACACACACACACACACACACACACACAAACACACACCGCCTGTACAGGCACCTATGCCTGCCTTAGGACTTGAACCTATCCTGACTACCATAAAAAAAGGACAGGTTCCTACCCTCTCCCCTAGAGTTCAGGGCAAATGCTCAGACACCAGGTGGAACTGAACCCTGGCCAACCCCAGTAGCTCTTCTATGATGTACACCCTGGACCAATGCTCCCCCTTCCCTTGCTCACTCCTTCCCAGACTCATCGCCATGAACCCCACCTGCCCCAAGCCATGGGTTCCTATTGTATTTCAGATGGCCACAGACTCAGGCAAGTCCTGAGATTTCCCACTTTGCCTAAAGGTCACCAGTAACCTCCCCTGACATGAATTGTTAGGGGCCGCGAAAATGGGTCGTTTGAAAAGCAATGCAGAGGCAAACATTGATATAAAGAAGAGAGGTAGGCTTAGTGGAGGGCTCTAACCCAGTTTCCTGATAGAAGGCAGGCTGACAGGCAATGCTGCAAAGTTCCTACACTGTTAAGCCCTACCATTCTCAAGGCTGCCATGCTGTTGAGATGTTTCTTAAGCACTTGCTAGGATTTCAGTAAGTGTCCTCCAGAACCCGGGTGCAGGGCTCATGATGTGGGTCTATTGGGAAGTAGACCCTTCAGAGGTATGGCTTGGAAAGAGGTTGTCTTAGACAGACTGTGTTACTGTGATGTCTGATAGAAGCAATGTAAGGGAGGGGCAATTTGTTACGACTTACAGTAAAGGTTTCAAGTCACAGCCCTAGGCAGCGCTGAGCACCATGGGGCAAAGGAGAGCATCGTGGAAGCATGTGGCAGAGGCTGCTCACCTCATGCAGACAGGAAATGGAGAGAGACAGACAAGACGCAGACAACTATACTCCTAAGGACCTGTCCCCAGTGACCTACTTCTTCTAGTTAAATCACATACCTTAGAGTTTCCAGCATTTCCCAAAATAGTGTCACCAGGCAGGAGGTAAGCTTTCAGTATATGATTTCTTTTTCTAGACCGGGTTTCTCTGGAGCTTTGGAGCCTGTCCTGGAACTAGCTCTTGTAGACCAAGATGGCCTCAAACTCAAAGAAACCCGCCTTCCTTTGCCTCCCAAGTGCTGGGATTAAAGGTGTGTGCCACCACTGCCCAGCATGAAATTTTTGAAAGATACTTCCTATCCGAACATTACCAGAGGTCTTAAGAAGAACAAGATAGACAACCCCAGTTCCTTTCTCTTGCTATCTTTTTTTGCACCCTCCAGAAACAAATTGGCTTCTTTTACCACGTACTCCTGCCGTGATGTGCTGCTCCACAACTGGTCTAAAATCATCCTGGTCCGTTGATTACGGACTGAAACCGTGAGCCAGAATGAACCTTCCTTCTTTTTGCGTTCATTCCTGAGGAATTTTGCTACAGTAACAGAGAGGTAGCACAGGGGCCTCGAAAAGGCTGTAGCTACTTCTGCATTTTCTCTGTCTTTACATTTTAAATTACATGCGCGTGTGTGCGCACGTACATATGCGCATTCGTTTGTGGGAACGCACACATGCTACGGTGTATATAAAGGTCAGAGGACAGCCTTCAGGAGTTGGTTTCCTCCTTTCGCTGTGTGGGTACCAGGGACAGAACCTGGGTTGTTAGGCATGGCAGCAAGCACCCCTGGATGCTGACACTTCCCAGTCCTGCTTCTGCTCCTAAACAAAGCAGTGCTATAAAATACCGTGAACCAATGGGAAACAGGTAAAAGACACCACAAACCCACTGACACTCACACATTGAGATGAGGCCCATTTCTAGTCCCTTTGAATTCGTATGAACCTGGAAGGGACAGCAGTGAAGTGAAGAAATGCTGTCTCTGGAATGTATGTTTTGACCATTGGAAGCTCTTCCCAATTCTCAGAGCCCAGAGGAACAGTGGAGACTCTTGATAGAGCCCCTATATGGAAAGGGCCTCCTGAGGCTGCACAGATAAGGGTGAGAGGGCACCAGCATGAAGCATATCCCAGCCACCTCCATCCAGGGGGCACCTGCTGAGGACTATCGCGATGCCCTCAATACCACACAAAGTGGAATTCTATCTCCTTTTCTAACTCACAAAATTGTGAAGCAGAATAACAATATGGCTGCTGGGCTGTGCCACTGTACTTGGGGTGGTTTGCCAGGGAAACTCAGAATGAGTTTTGCTTCCTTGTTATTGATTGATTTTGTACTGCATAGCGAGGCACATTTGCATCAGCAGAATCAGGGCAATAATTTTCTAAGTATCACTTTGAGCTATCTGTGTATATGCATGTATTTCAGTTCAAATGAATCATCCATTCTCTCCTGGTGAAGCAGATGCATAACTCATCTTCCCCCTCCCCAAAGCGGATCCTGCCACCCCACCCCCTCCTCAGTACACAGCCTGGGAATCGGTGCTATTTCTGTAACTTGCCTTGTAAGTGTAATCCAAGTTCTAGGCTATTTTTAAATGCATGGATCATTGTTTTACAGTGAACACGGCATTTATGAGCTCCCTGCTTTCACATTTGAATGTCAATGGCAAGCCTTCATCCTGGAAAGAAGCATCATGTCAGGATTCCCAGGACAGTCTCCAGGACGGACTGCTGTCTGTAAGTCCTAACCCTCCTGTTTCCCTTCTGGAAAATAAAGATAATGGTAAAGAACCAACTTCACACTGCTGCATGGGTTGGGAAGCAAGCTCCCAGAGTGGTGCCTGGCTTATGATGATAGTCCAAAGGTGATTGTTGGCATTTGCTAATTGTCCCTTCTCCGTCTTCCCATGACCATCCAGCTCTTTCTCTACCAGAAGGTATGAAGAGAAGGATATGGGTGTGAGACCTGGTCTGACGGCAATTGACTTAATCACCATATTGACTGTGGTCTACAGTCAATCTCTGGATCACGTTAACAACAACCCAGTGAGCATACACATTCCCTTGGCATCCAAATCCATGGACATTAAATATGCTTCAGGTACAGACGATTCTGCTGCACCATGCGCCTGGCAGCCTTGACTCTAAAGAAAACCAAAACCCACCTGCTTTTAATCCCCTCTGTCCCGATCTCCTTGCTTCCTTGCATGTTCTCCACAGACGTGCTCAGCCGGCCTTCCATGGCATCCTGCAACCTGGGTACACACAGCTCGTTTTCTGAACATGACAGTTTCTGAATCCAAGTGAGAGGGTTGGCCTGTGTCTGGTGTGCGGAATTCAAGTTGGCTATTTGTAAAAACTTATCCTGATCTGAATTGGGGGAGAAAAAGACAGGCATACCCACAGGATTACACTGGTTTCAGTCATTGGTCTTGATACAACCATACCCTCCTGTCCCTGGCTCTCCTTCCCAGTTCTTTCTCCACACTGAGAGACTTGTCATTCTGCCTCCCACGAGCTTGGGGGAAGTCCTGCGTCTAGCCCCAGAAATGCAAGCCCTTCTGATCAGCACTCACTAATGAAAGACACTCTGGAAGCCTAAGAAGAGCGGCAAGATGACCCCGGTAGCTGATAGAGAGGCAGCCAGGAACCTGCTCTTAACTGGCACCTTTGAAAGCTCCAGCAAGGTCACACCTCTCTCTGCAGTCACCCTCACAGAGTGACAAAGCACCTGGGACCCCAAGTCAGGCTCTTCCTGTGGAATATAATTTTTAATTGCTACACAGCTGTATTAGTCCACGTGAGAGTCCCCTGCCAGATACATTAACACACATTAAAAGTGTGGACCCTCCGCTCAGATGCATTCCTTTCCCCCTTCTCATACAGGCTTAGTAGATGTTTCCAGTGTTGAGACTCTGATGATGAGGAATGCCCCCATTTTACTATCTGCATTATTCATAGAAAATTGAGATTTTATTAAACGGTCTCTTAGGTCAGCAAGGTCTTGCTCAAAACATCTATTGCAATAGTGCATCTATTGCACTGCTGTGGGGTTTTACATGCTCATTTTGTTGTTTCATTGTTGAGATAGGGTCTCCTGTAGTCCAGGCTAGCCCGGAACTCTTTTTACCATCATGACAAACTTGAACTCCTGGTCCTTCTACCTCCACTTCCCAAGTGCTGGGATTACAGGAACGAGCCACCACACCCAGCTTGCATTTATATTTGGAGAAAGGAAAATGGTGATTATTTTTTGGTCACTCGCTCCCTACTAAAACCAGGAAGGAAAGTGTATAACAGCATCCACATACTCAGTATCCATGCCCCCTCCTTCTTTCGTTGTATATGTATAGTGTTGATGTATATGTAAGTATATGGTATCTGCAGGTGCATGTGGGTAGAGGTGTACATAGAAATGTGTATCATATGCACAGCTTTCAGTTATCTTTGTATACATGTGATGTGTGTATATGTGACATGGTTATCGAAGGTAGAAATGTTTATATCTGGGGTACCATGTATATGAATGCTCAATAAAACACCCCTGCAAGGACAGGGCGAGGAACATTTAACTACATAAGTAGACTTTCTCTGTCTGGCTCTTTTTCTCTGGTCCTTTCTCTTTCTGGTGTTGCCGGGGCTGTTACCCTTGAACAAGTTAGTCACTAGAAAAACAAATTTCTCGTTGAGAATTTGTGAGTATGAGGAAGGTGGAATCTCTCCTTTCTTAGAGTGAGCAAGAAAGGATAGGGGGATGTAAGTCATTTGAATATGTCCTGTAGCTTCTGCACAGATTTTATAGTCTTACTCCAGAGCTTGGGCCTGTCAGGAAGAAGGTAATACCAGTAGTGACTTCTGACTAAACATGTCCTGTGTGACAATCAGTGACAAACATTAACACTTCCACTGTCTCACAAGGTCCCCACCATAACTCTCTGGGGTGGATAGTGTACCCATTTTACAGATAAAAAATTTGAGGATAGATATCATTTTGGACTAACCAGTCCAAAGGCTGGTTAGTAAGAGGGCAGGTTTCACACTTAGTCCAGCGGCTCCACAGTCCACACTGGAGAGCGCACATGGTACAGACACTGAGCCACAGACAGTAGCACCAAAGATTCACATAAGTACTCCCAGCCTACCAAGTCCTGAAGGAACAGTGATCTTGTACTTAACACCTGGTAGGGATTTTCTAGGCAGGAATGGGAGGCTAGTCTTAGCCCAGAGAGGCTCAGTGGTTTGAAGCGGACTGTACGGAGACCGGCATTCCAGGAAGCAGCTGTTCCCTAGGGAAGGGAACTCACAGAAGGGAGCAGAGAAGTGAAAGTCCCACATGCCTGATTCTTCAGGAACTATCTGCCCAGGGAATGTTGGGAGTTGAGCAGGCCTTAGTGTACAGGACAGAGCCACACATCAAGGTGAGGGATGGAGACCACAGAGGCTAATACTCAGCAGGACAGACTCAAAAAGAGCAGGACACCAATGTCACCAGGCATGTTCCATGCCCAGGACAGAGACCAGAAACAAGGAGATAGAGTCAGCAGGAGCACCAGGGTCAGCAGGCCTATACTCCATGGTGCTGTACAAGTATACCAACAGGTAGGCGGGAGAGCCAGGTATGCTGGTCTCCCAGGATTAGAAGGAAGGGTTGCCACGGATGTCCCAAAGACGCTGGCATGCTAAAAGGGCAGTGTCTGTCCTCTGGTTATGGGTGACTCCACAATATAATTGTGATACCAGTAAAGTAGCTGAGAAATGTCTGACTCTGTCTGGATACTAAAGGTCAAGTCCAAGTTAGTTATAGCATCCCGAATACCCAAGAGGCATTCTGAGCTAAAGCCACAAGGAGAAAGTCACTGAGTGAGACCCTGGAGGACACAAGAGCATTCCTGCAAGCATGGGTTCAGAGAAAGGCCAAGCACGTCCCACAACCCAAGACATGCCCACAAGAAGGACTGAGAAAAGATTTCAGCTCACTGGGTAGTGAAGACAGATCTTGCCTGATTCAATCCTGGAACTGTGTGCTTGTAGGAGCTGGTGGTTGTATTTCTCTCTAGGGATCCAAATATAACTATGAAATAAAGTGCCTGTTGAGACAATTCACAGGAGAATGACTAAGAGACATTTGGAAAATGTTCAACTTTTCACCCATCAAAAAAGCAAAACAAAGCCACAATGAAAGATCATTTTTACCTGTCAAACAAATACACAAAATACAATGGCATGTACTCTTCGAGAATGAAAAATAAAAAATAAATAACATCAGAATGACAAGGAGATCCAGCATTCTAGAATGACATTCAGAAACACAGAGAGGCTTTAAAAATCCCCTGGCTTGTTACCCAAAGTTATACTTCTGAGGTTAAGGAGTGACATGGAAGCCAGAAAAAAAAATAGTAATGTTTTATAGTCGCATTTGCGATATTGAAAAATCTATATCAAAAGGAAATGATTCATTTTATTTCCATACAAATCATCCCTTCATCCATCTGTCCATCCATTCATCCACCCATCCATCCATCCATTCATCCATCTGTCAGTCCCTCCGTCTGTCCATCCATCCATCTATCCACCCATCTGTCCACCCATCCATCCATACATCCAAGAAGCAGGTATTAAAGACAGACTCTGTAGCCTATAATCCAGCACCTGAAAGGTTAAGGCTGGAAGATCATAAATTTAAGGCTACTCTGGACTACACAGCAAGATCGTCTCTAAATTAATCAGTTAGTTAATAAATACATACAATAAAAAGCATGTGTATATCACTTCTTATTTGTCATGCCTCTGTTCAATACTGGAGCTGGGAAGGCTGGGCAATACTGTCACTACCTTCAAGAAATTCCTCGTCTAGCCCAGATGGAAGCACAACTGAATATAGCAGCGTCACAGGTGAAAGGACAGAGGTCTGCAAACGGAGGCAGTGATCCACTCCACCTTCAAGAATCATCTGGGAAGAGCCAATCCAGAGAGGCTTCAAGATGGAGGTGACCTCTAACTTACTCTAGGAGAAGTGAACTTATCTTGGTAGCCTGACCCCAGGAGGGTTAGGAAAAGCACCACAGTGGAGGCCGCTGTATTGTCGTTACTTTCCTCTTTTCTGTGACCAAACACCGGATCAAAACACCTTAATGGAGAAAGCTTTATTTCATCTCATAGTCCAAGGGGAAGTCTGTCATGGTGGGGAAGGCGTGGCGGCAGAAGCATGAGGCTTCCCATCACTTTGCTTCCACAAGCACAAAGCCGAGAGCAAGGACTGTGGATGCTCTGCTTTCTTACTCCTGTTGTACCCAGGACTCTGGCCCATGGAAATGGTGTGATCTGTAGTTAAAGTGGATCTTTGCACTCGCTGAACCTGATCTTGGTATTCCATCATGGCTATGCCTGGAGGCTTGTCACCTAGGCATTTCTAAATCCTGTCAAGAAGATGGTTAATATTAACCATCACTGCCACAGAGCACCAAGACACAGAAGACTGGGATGTGGTTTTCCACAGCCATTATCCTGGCATGCAGGACAGTTGGAAAGAAAAGAGAAGTAACAAGACAAGAAAGAAGTCAAGGCTGGGGCCAGACTGGAAAGAGTGCCCTCAGAATTTGGGGTTTGTCTCTGCTGTCAGTGTGGAACTATGAACAAGCTTTAGCGGGGAGAACATGATTGAACTGAAAAGCCACTCCAAAGGCTGAAAGGCAGTCAACAGGATGAGAATCTCAGGCAGATGCCTTTCCAAGAGCATGTGGCCGTACTCCGGTGGAGTAGGAAAGGAAGGTGTTGGTCTAGGTTCCGGTTTTCTGGATGAGTGAGAGATGGTTCCATTTGCATAGGATAAAGATCATATCAAGGAAAGTAGGTGGAGAGACAGGTCATAGAAACGAGTCTGGGGACTGGGAGAGGTAGGGAGCTCTCCCCTCCATGCAGCATTGAAAGTGATGTCCGGGCTCTGGAGAGACTGCCCAGTTCTGCAAGTTCCGGGACCTGAGTCTGAGCCTCAGAACTAACAGAGAAAAGACAGGCACAGAGGTACATGTTTGCGATCCCTGTGCAGGGGCTGGGGGCGAGGAGAGACAAACAGATCCCTGGAGCTCCCTGGCCAGACAACCTTACCCAATCAGCAGCCCCAGGTAGTCAGTGGGAGAGCCTATCTCAGCAAACAAGGTAGACAGTTCCTGAGGAAAGACGCCTGGGAGCTTGTCCTCTGGCTTCCACATGTATGTCCACACATGTGCAGGCACAACACACACACATATATACACACATGGGGGTGGGGTGGGTGGAGAATGGTATCTGCAGAGGGCTTCTCACAGAGAGTCTGAACAGGCAAGAGGGGATTGGTTATGTGAGTCTTTTTAGTACAAATAAAATGCTAGAGTCCTGGAAACTACTAAGACGATAGAATTT